CACACACTTCCTCTCCCAGCAGTTCAGAAATATAGAAGTGAACAGAAACAAGCAAGATAATTTTTAGTTTCACCCTGCTCCTTCCTTACCACAAGGCCCTGTAGGCTGAGTGTGAAAACTGACTGACTGAACATCAATCCTAGTTCTGCTGAGAGAAGCTGCCCACACAGAGGCAAAAAACAATGCTTCTTTCCCTTAAGTTGACTCACATATGAATTCTGAAAAAGTAAGAAGAGGTACAAATAAAGGCTAAAAGGATTTAGAAAAGTTTCGTGACAACAGTTGAACTTAAATTCAAGACTATAATTTGACAACTAAGGAAAAATAGTTATCCTCCAGGTGCAATGGCTCACATCTGTAATCCTAGCAGTTTTGGAGGCCGAGGCAAGAGGATGGATTGAGCTTAGAAGTTTGAGTGAGCAAGAGTGAGCAAGCATGAGACTCCATCACTATTAAAAAAAAAAAAAAAAATTAGCCAAGCATTGTGGCAGGAACCTATAGTCCTAGCTACTTGTAAGCGATGGCAGAAGGATCACTTGCACCGCCGAGTCTGAGATTCCTGTAAACTAGGCTGATACCATGGCACTCTAGTGTAGGCCAGAGATAGGAAAGGGAAGAAAAGGGAAAAAAAGCCTGGCAGTGGCTCACTCCTGTAATCCTACCACTCTGGGAGGCCCAGGTGGGTGGATCACTTGACCTCAGAAATTCCAGACCAACCTGATCAAGAGCAAGACCCCGTTTCTACTAAAAACAAAAAAATTAGCTAGGTGTCATGGCTGACGCCTGTAATCCCAGCTACTCAGGAAGCTGAGGCAGAAGAATCACCTGAACTTAGGAGTTTTGAGGCTGCTGTGAGCTAAAATGCTGGAGCACTCTACCCTGGGGCAATGGAGTAAGACTGTCTCAAAAAAAAAGGAAAAGGACAAGGACTATCAAATTTACTCTGAAGGAAAGAAAAGGAAAGGGCTATCAAATTTAATCTGATGACCAAGGAAATAAAATAAACCAAACCCAAATAAATAAAACCAATACAATTTCTGCTCACTTAACAGGATGAATAAAGAAGAAACTTTAAAAAGGAACGCCTATCGCATCCTTTATAACTACCTGAGTTTTTTTCTTCCTCAAAAGAAGAAAAATTCATAAACCATCAGCAGATTAAGGTACCCTCACAATTTGGCCCTACCTGCATCCACCCTATCCATCCCTGTGAAAACTCATTGTTGCCTAGCCTGGAATGCTCACCTGGAAATCCATCTCAAACCTCAAATGTTAAGTTTCTTGAGCACCAGGAGAACGTTTTGGTCTTACTCAGCACTGCTGGCACACAATAAATAGTAAATTAGTGTTATGAGAATAAAGAGGCTCCACATGAATATTTTGTCATCTGAGTTTTCTCAATAGCTTTTTCTCCCTCACAACTTTTTATTCAAATTATATGTCCACTTCATTTTGCCTATATAATTACAGCTACATAAGAAACTATTTGCTCCCAAACTCTTTCCTAACATAAAAAAATGGTGAAATCAGTATGCTTAAAAAAAAAAAAAAAACACACAACATTTTTCAGCTGGCTCAAAGGAGTAGGGCGCTGGCCCTATATACCAAGGTGGAGAGTTCAAGCCCGGCCCTGGCCAAAACTGCAAAAAAAAGAAACAAACAAACAAATTTTTCATCTTTTATAGGTTTCCTCAAGTACTGTCAATTCAGCAAACTTGACTACATTATTTTCATATCCTTGGTTACATGCAGGAAAATCAGAAAGATCTACCAAAGCCACAGAATGTAAAGTTTAGTTCTCTAGCATATACCAGTTCTAAACTTTAAAGAGATGGGGGGAAAAATACTCAAATTGGCTACATATCAAGTCTACTCATGCACATGACAAAACAAAACCACAAGACTAGGAATCCTAGCAAAATAGCTCCTTTAAATAACAAGTAACTACATAAGCTCACTGAAGTCACTAGACAAGCCGTAAAAAGACTTTAAATACCAATGCTACTGTATTAGGAGCAAAAAACCTTTGCAGGATATATATTGAGCATTCAGTTCTAATAGAATTGAATTAAATTAGAACCTAAATCCTGCTACAGACCCAAGAAAAAAGCAACCTCCTGCTTTCTGACTTTGCCAGCCAAGATTGAATTGGGCAAAGAACATAAAGCTGAATTTGTCTTTAATATTTGAGTTTTGAATTAATCATGAAGACTATAAAACAAGGAGCATTATAACTATTCCCACATAAAGGCATGTTTAAGAGTAAAATAAACTGAATTAGTAAAAACTATCCCGTGAATTTAACCAGCAGCTAACAATGGGAAAAATTTCCAGCTCCAAAATCCAGTCTATCTCGTGTTCCACTAAAAAAAGTATCAGATAAGAAATTTTTTCCCAATAAGAAATCTCATTTTAGGCTCAGCACCTGTAGTTGAAACAGCTAAGGCAGCAGCCACATATGCCAGAGCTGGCGGGTTGGAATCCAGCCCAGGTCTGCCAAACAACAATGACAACTACAACCAAAAAAGAGTTGGGCCTTCTGGCGGGCACCAGTAGTCCCAGCTACTTGGGAGGCTAAGGCAAAAGAATCGCTTAAGCCCAGGAGTTGCTGTGAGCTGTGATACCATAGCACTCTGCCTAGGGCGACAGCTTAAAGATTTGTCTCAAAAAAATAAAAAGAAAAAAAGAAAACTCATTTAGGCTAGGCGCCCGTAGCACAGTGGTTACTGTGTCGGCCACATATACCAAGGATGGTGGGTTCGAACCCAGCTCAGGCTAGCTAACAACAATGACAACTGCAACAGAAAAATAGCCAGATGTTGTGGCGGGTGCCTGTAGTCCCAGCTACTTGGAAGGCTGAGGCAAGAGAATTGCTTAAGCCTAAGTATTTGAGGTTGCTGTGAGTTGAGACGCCACTGCACCCTACAGAGTATGACACAGTAAAACTCTGTCTCAAAAAAAAAAAAAAAAAGAAAGAAATCTCATTTAGCTGGCCCTTCAGGTGTAAATTACCTTGACATTTTTCCCTGCCTTTCAGATTATATTTAAGTTTACATCTATAACATGTAAACATTACAAAAAAGATGTGGTTTTAAGTTTTAAGATTACATTAGTACCAAAAAGCTTTTTTCTTTTTTTTGAGACAGAGTTTCACTTTGTCGCCCTCGGTAGGGTGCTATGGCGTCATAGCTCATAGCAACCCCAAATTCTTGGGCTCAAGCAATTCTCTTGCCTCAGCCTCCAGAGTAGCTGGGATCTACAGGCACCCACCACAATGCCTATTTTTAGAGACAGAGTCTCCACCAACCCTGAGCTCAGGCACTCCACCACCTCATCCTCTCAGAGTGCTAGGATTCCAGGCGTGAGCCACCACACCTGGCCCCAAAAGCATTTAAAGTAAAACGATTTAGAAGTGTCTAAGAAATATTTTTATTTCACATTTAATGGAAGTGCATAAAATTCCATAAAGGTTATTTTTAAAGCAGCAAGCATTGCAGTCAATTCCATTTTGGTTTCCTGATTTTAAATTTAATTCATAATTTTATATTAACTGGGTACCTACAGTTGCACAAAGCACTCTACTCGGCATTGTACTGAGCATATTATTAAGTCAAAGTATTTTACTTCCTATTTAAAAAATGGTTAGTGATGTGATTCCTCAAGACATCAGGTAATATGTATCAATTGCAGCCCTCTAAAAATGCTTGTTAAACCAAAACGCAACGCTCTGATTACTGAAGGAATCCGGATTGCCAGGGTCAGCAAAACCACATTAGAACGTCAATAGCCTCCATTCTTAAAATATCCCAAGAGAAGAAAGGGAGTGATTTAAACTGTTAGCATGTGCTAATGATACTACATAATAATAATCTAAGCAAAACTGCCAGATGTATTTGTAATTAAGAGCCCCTACCTGGACAAAGCATCATTAGTGGGATTTCCATTCTGTTGGGTGGAAGGATTCAGAAAGCAAGAGATCCCGCAAAAAAAAAAAAAAACACCTGAAAAACCCATCCAAGCACAAACTGCTCAAGCGGTGAACAATCTGGGACCCAGATTGTGGGAAGACTAATACACACGTTCTTTCCCTCAACCAGTGAGCATCTCTTTTGTAACAGAGCAGGACAATTTAAAAGTGAATGACAAGCAGTTCCGATAGGGGCTGCTAGCACTATACACTAAGGTTTGTGCTATAAAAAACAAAGTACGAAGTGCTCCTGGGAAAAAGAACTCTCTGGGGAAGATTCAGGGAAGGCAACAGTCTTTAATCCAGGGCTCATCAGTACACATACTCGCCGGTTTTTAAATAAAGTTAACAAACTCTCCTAAAGAGGTCAATTCTAGAGACTGACAACATCGCTCCCCTTGACGGGAGGCGTTGGAGGACCGAAGGCGGAAAGCTTCTAGATGCAACCGGCGCTAAGCCTAAGAAAGCCTGTTCTACCTCCTCCAAGGGCCAAGGCAGCAGCCGTGGCGGCAGATGTAGGCGCCAGACCCCAGCATCACTACCACCACCCCGGCTCCCGGAGTTGCAGCCACTGCTTCCCCCGCGGGACAAGGGTGCCGGAAAGTCGCTAGAAGATAACTCCAGGGCGACGAAGCCGCTCCCCGTGCGCCCCGGGGGCTGCGGCACCCCCTGCCTCCACTTAGTCCCGGCAGAAAAAGACTCGTTTCGAGCAGGCCCAGCAACTAGGGGGTGAAGGAGGGCGCCAACTCAGCTGCACCCGGAGGACGCGAGGGTCACTAGCCGCGGCGGGCGAGCAAGGAGGTCGGAGCTGTTCAGCTGTCAGCGCCCACCAAGGCCGCGCCTCCCGCTAAGTCTGGGTGCGAACCCCCGGCGCCCACCAACCGGGCCCATTTGGACCCCAGCGACTAGACCGCAGATCCCTCACCTGCGGCCCGCACCCCTCCGACTCGCCCGGACCCCTCCCTGGAGACAGCCCGGGCCCTGCAGCTCGACCAGTACCCAGGCCGCGGCCCTGCGCCCCTTCCCGCCTCACCTGTGCTCCGCTGAGAGTCCGCACCTCACCCGCTCCGCGCGCCCCGTCGGGGCACGCACCGACCCCACGGCCGGGACTTTCCCGGCCGCGGTGACTTGGGACGCTAAGGCCACTGCCGCCTTCTCCTCCTCGGCACAAACCCCAGTAGCAAGCAGAGAGTCGCGGCCACGGCACTTGCCAGGACTAAAGTGAACCTCGCCGCCTCTGGAGCCTCCACTACCAAGTCCCTTCAGTCGTCCGCGCCGCCCCAAGAAAATGTCACCAGAGGCCGTTCCGCTCTGCGCCTCACTTCCGCCCGGAACCACAGAGCCCGAGCCGGCCGGCTAGAGCGGCCTCTGCGGCTCGGGCCTCTGGGGACCCGATCCCGAGGCCGGGGGAAAAGCCAAACACCGCCACCTGGCGGAGAGAACCAGGCGCACGGTCGCCGGGCGCGCGGGCGCCGGCTTCTCTGGCTTCTTTTCCTACGCTCTCCTTTGGTTCAGGTAGTTTCCCTTCCAGAAAAGTCTTTCCCAGAAGGTGGAGAAGCCAGTCAATGGAAGCCAAGGACAATGCCTTAAGAAAAGGACGGCGCTCCCTCCTTGGTGCGCTTCCCAGTACTCCCTCCAGAAGCCTTCCCGAACGAAGCTCGCGGGGTGAGAATCCTTGAGTCACTCCAGCAAGGAGCCCTCTCCCTTCTCGCCCCACTTCCTACCAGACGCCAACAGTTCGGCTGTGCTCTTCTCGGGCCGCAGCACCAAGTTTCTAGACCGGCACCTTGCAGGCCTTGCAAATAGATCGCCACCTGCTGGGGAGAGAGGCGGGGGGTTGGTCCGGGGAGACCCCGCTCGCCGCGGCGCGCGCTCCGAACGCCTGGAACTCCAACTCTGCAGAGTCACTCCTCCAATTTGCGGTTCGCGCTGGGAAGGGTGACGCACCGGCGCGCTCCGAGTTTCTGAGACTGGTACTTGAGATCATTTCGGGGGGATGGGGGAAACGTGGTGGACAGATAGGATCCTTATCTGGGACCTAGGGACAGATAAGGTGGGCACAAACCACCTGGAAAGGAGAGGGGCTTACCAAGGAGGAAGAGGAGATGCTGAGGACAAAGAAGATCTGGCAAAGGGCCCGCACTCCCTAAAGGCAGGGCAGGATATGGAGAGAAAAGGGGGTGGGTGGGAGTAGGTTTAAAGAGAAAAATGTTTACGTTTTAAAGAGCTGTGCTGGAACCATGGTTGACACTCAAGAGGAAACTCTGAAAATCTGACAGCACTGGTCCACAGTCCCCTTACCATCACCCACCCTTTTAGACCAGGTCTTCCTTTCCTCAACTTCACTCATTTTTGCCACCTGCCTACAGACATGGGAGTTCTCCATCCTTGACTAAATGAATAAAATTAATAAGATAATAGTAGCCTAGCTCGGTGACTCACAACTGGAAGGCCAAGGGGGAAGGATCACTTGAGCCGAGGAGTTTTAAGCTGCTGTGAGCTATGATGATGCCATTGCACTCCAGCCTGGGGCAAGAGTGTACTCTATCTCAAAATAATAATAATAATAATAATAATAAT